GTTCTATATCTGTTTTGCATCAGGATTCATGTAAACAGCAATGTAGACTGGATGCAGTGAATTGACCGGTAGGCAAGAAGGCAGGCAGGCAGGCAGGCACAATGACTATGAGGGGTGGCTTCTTCTAATATCCGCCAGTGCCAATTTGTCAAATGATAAACGTCAGTATACATTGAATGTGGTCAACTAGCAATAAGTAGGGTGGCCGGCAATGGGTCCACCATCAAGTACGCCCCGGACTTTCCTAGTGTATTGGATTGATCGACTGCCGTCTTCACCCACCCGAATAGAACGCATTGTCATTATCGCATAATATCGCCGAATCTAGGCCGATAGTTGCCCCAAATACAGCAATAATGACCATGTGTTCTATTAGTGTGAACACTGTGAAGACGGTAGCAGCAGACTGCCCTGCAAGTACAGACCATGTAGATTGACTGGAGTAGATAAGTTGGCAAGTACATTTGCTATAGCACAGCCGAGCGAACAAAATTAACAAACCGATGAAGATTCTTTGTACATTCATTCTACATTCATTGTAGATTCATAGTAGATTCATTGGAGATTCATTGTAGATTCATTGTAGATTCATTGGAGATTCAGATGCATTGAAGATTCGGTGCAGTATCACTGTCGGTTCACCTATCCTGCATCAGGCCTGACGAGGCACAGTGCCAGAATGGACAAAAGATGATCGAAACCGAATGGTCCAATCTTTTGCATCTGATAATCATGCAACAAGTTAAGGCATTATTTTCTCGGTTTTGGTTGGAAAAAAAAAACAAAAAAAGCACTTTTTCGAAGTTTTTTCTTGGTTTTGATTGTGAAAAAAAAAAAAAAAACTGTTGTCAGAGTTGCTTCCGTACTGCTGATTTCGCCAAGGCACAAGCTCTCATAGGTTGGTAGTAGGTTTTGTTTTTTTTTTTTTCGTTTTTCTTTCCGGGGAAAAGAAGCCAGCCTCGGTCATAAAGCCAGGTACTCCGTACACATATTTGCCAAATAATCCATAAACTGAATCATACGACTTCGCAAGGAAAATGAGCGATAGCGAGATGACAGTATCCAGATTGCACAATCACATTGAAACTTCAAAGCCAGAAAGTATCACTGTGTCCAGAAAGAAGCATTGCACCAATATAACACCAATGGAGAATCATAACAGTGAAAACCAAATGTCAATGAGAGCTTGCTCTCTCCACGACCAACATGTGTGTTCAGGCCCGTCTCCCTACTTGGCGCTCGGCGCCCAGCCTACTCCCTACACAGCTACCACCTGCCTACGAATTGACAATGCAACTGTTGACGTCAGCTGCCAACGAAGTACGTGAAGATGTTGCCCAATGCAGACCATCGCCAATACCAGGTATGTGCCCTCACATCGTCATCATCATCATCATCCTTCTCTCTTCTTCGACTTAAACACACATCTTCCATCTGTACACCCGAAGACCACCTCTGCGCCTCACTGTATGTCGAAGCCCTCAGCCAGCTATGGAGGACTGGGCTATGGCGCTGCCCTCAGCAGCGCCCTGCTTCCTGCATGACCGCACGCGCACAGCACCTTGCCCTGAGCGCTAAGCAGCCCGCGAGCAATCGCTCCAGCAGCGCTGCCGCAGCATTTGGCAAGTGCCTGAATACCTCACCAGGCAGCGAGCTCTTTCCTATACGGAAAGAGCCTGCCTCCCCCGGCGGCCTGACTGGCTTGCGCCTCTGCCCAGAAGCTTCCGGTAGGCCCCAGGAGGCTGTGCCTCTGTTGCAGCTACTGGGCCTCGTTCGGTTGGGCCTCCCAACCGTCTGTGTATGAGGCTGCGGTTCTTGCCCAGGGCCTGCATTTCAGGAAAGGCCTGGAAGGCCGTGGAATGTCTTTGCTGCTCGGCCTGTGTTTCCCTCAAACCAATTGGCGCGTCACAACTGCCTGGACCCCAAATACGAAATTGACAGCAGAGGGCCTCTCGGACCGCAAATACGAAATTGACAGCAGAGGGCCTCTCGAGATTTGTTAGGGCCCCTTAGGCCTGCCAAGGACCCAGATCCTCGCAACTTAAACTAGCACGCAAGTTGTCACTCAATTCTGGCCGCACTTTGTCAAAGGCTCGAAGCACAACTCAATTCTGTTTGCAAGGTGGTGGTCCCCCATCACACGGCTCTCAAACAGCGCCTTTTGTGAAGTTTTGTCACAGCATGTTCTTTTTACAGTGCCTTTTGTCACAGCATGTTCTTTTTAAAGTGCCTTTTGTCACAGTATGCTCTTTTTGCAGTGCCTTTTGTCACACCATGTTCTTTTTACAGTGCTACAAAAGACGCTGCCGGTGTCGTCACAGCACAACTTTTCGAAGGGAGGTACATAGTAAAAAGTACTAAGAACGTCTTTTTTTCACTTTTTTCGGTGTAGGTAGGTACTTAATAAACACGTTGGACAGCCCTTCCGGACATCCGCCAAAGCACCAGTACACAGTCATGACCCGGCCGCTGGCCGCTCACCGCCAAAGCACCAGTACACAGTCATGACCCGGCCGCTGGCCGCTCACCGCGACTTTCGGAGGAGGCTGGAAACGTGACAAAGACCATCGATGAAATTTATCAACGCCCGCCTGGCCCCGAAGTTTGCGGTGTGTGGGGGCGAGTTCATTTTGTGCAAGGCTGGGGACGTGTACTGGCGGTTTAAAATTGCAACGATAGTGTTACGATACAGAGAAGAATAGAATGGCCCCCGATGATTCAAGTATGACATGACACCCATAAATTCAGAAACGGTCCAAATTTGTAATGTCAAAGTGGAGAGAAAAAAAAAAGAAACATGTCAGACAAACACACTCCGGAACCAGGCTAATGTCCATGACTTCAAAATTCACATAGCAGCATGCACAATGCATTGCACATCTCTTCTTTTAATGTAAATCTTGACCAAGCATGAGGGTCTCCTGTCCATGCACAGCTGCAACAACAGACAAGATGGGCCAGTGTGACTAAACTCTGCAGAGGTTTCCGACACGGCATTTTCACTTCTTGACACCTCTACAGCATGCCTCTCTCTCTCTCTCTCTCTCTCTCTCTCTCTCTCTCTCTCTCTCTGTGTGTGTGTGTGTGTGTGTGTGTGTGTGTGTGTGTGTGTGTGTGTGTGTGTGTGTGTGTGTGTGTGTGTGTGTTATAAGCTTCCCCCACAACAACCCCTATTCCAACCAGATGAGTAGAACCGGACTGAGTCCGCCCAAACAGGCAGCACGAATCATTTAGAACCATTTTGAACCGTGTTTAGCTAGGGTTTCTTTGGGGCAAAAGCTCCTCTTTGACTTTACCACATACAAGGCTGCCCACGTTGATGGTGGTTGAGCGGCAGCTGCCCACATCCSMRTGTGCCTTAACGGCCCACTTGCACGTTATAATAAGAGGCAGAGTAAAGGGGAAGGTATGCTCCTGTGCACTTCAGTTCAGATCTTCATACTCCTGTTCATTTCACTTCAGATCTCCAGCTGTTCATTTCCCTTTGGATCTCCAGCTGTTCATTTCACTTCAGGTCTTCAGCATATGCTTAGTCTTTGTGTTTGTCGTTCGTCTTCATACTCCTGTTCATTTCTCTTCAAATCTTCAACTTATACTTTGTCTGTACTCTTACTGATGCTCATTCGTATGTATTTCCTAGTTGCACATGTGTGTGTGTGTGTGTGTGTGTGTGTGTGTGTGTGTGTGTGTTTGTGTGTGTGCGTGTGTGTGTAAGAACAGCTGAACTGTCTGCTAGACTCTCTAGCCCTTATGCAAGCCCACAGGCAAAGGCAGAATGCATCTGCAGAAAGGTCGTATGAGATAAGGGGTATAATGAATCTTACCCTTATTCTACAAAATAAGCAACATATGCTTCCAAATGAATCCACAAACAGGCAGCCAGTCTGAAAACATTTTGCATCATTTACGGCAAACTTTTTCGCAATGCTTAGCCGGTTCAGGAAAAGGCAGCTCACGAACGCCCTGCAAATCTTCCGTTAGGACGGGAAAGATCCTGCAGTCCAAACTACAGAAGTACGGAGTTGCTCGCACCGTACCTGCAAATCCGCAACAGACTACACGTACTACTTCCTTCCCTTCCTTACAGGAAGACCCTGCGCATCCAAACTATAGAAGAAAACACTCGCTCACACCGTACCTTCGGATATAGCGTCGTTATTATGCTGACACCCTGGAGTGCTGATTTCCATCGCACTGCCGATTGCCGTAAGCTTGGCATCATCGCCAGCACACTGTGCTGGCTTTCACCTGAACGTCCTGCTGTGCTCGCTTTCACCTGGCCATCCAGCAGCAAAGCTCTTTTCAGGATCTATTTATATATTCAGTCTCACGGTCGCCCACTCCAGGCCATGCATAATGGGTCAGCAGGTAAATCGAGACACAATATGCATGTCATACTTGCGCAGGGGCCATGCTAATCTTCTTTCTCTGTATCGTATCGTTCCAATCCTTTTCATGGATGTCCCGAACGCCACCTTTCTTTTTCAACCATAAAGTTTACAGTCCTGTGGAAATTGGAAATCATTTTGGGCAAGACGATGAATGATGCTCAAACTTTGCGTGTTGCAAAGCGCCGAAATCCTTCAGCGACACCTTTCTCTGAGAAGATGGCCCACTGGGGAGATGGCCCACTTCCCATTCCCAGATCACTTTTTCACACTCCTGATCACCGTAAGCTTGTCGTCGCTGACAAGAGAACCGCAATTTTTTGCTTGCACCTGAAAGTTCTGCTGCCCGCTCACTTCTTCAAACATTCAGATCATCGCAGTCGTTCGGTACAAATATGACAATGCTCGCTCGAGACGATGTCCGCCTTCATTCCTCCCACGGACTGTGTCATCTGAAAAATTCACATCATGAAATGCCACAGTCCGAACTGACGTCAGGTCATCCCGCAGAATATCAACAGCAAGAAAAACAAACCGGCAGAGTCCAAACTGACGTCAGGTCATCCCGCATTGCCCCAACGGGGCCCTTCCACAAGACCCTTCCGACAGCGCTCAAAGGGTTCGTGGAACTTCGTGCCAACATATCAATTCCCGACTTCACCAAAGCTGTGATTGACGAGCTGGTCCAGAGCCGAGGACTGTGGCAAAGGGCAACGGCAGCAGGACGTCGTTCCGACGTACCTGGTCCTGTTAGATGCAGAAGAACAGCGAGAAGATGAACACAAAAAGGGAGTGACAGGTAACCCCAAAAGACAGGGAGTAGGGTACCCAACTGGCCTAGTTCAGTAGGTACTACACCCCTGAACTGTTGAAATACAGACCCGAATTCAAACTCCTTCGGAAGCAGATGAGTGAAATTGCACAATTAGGGACAGTCAGTTCGATGATGATATCTCAAGCCCATCGCCCTTTCAACGAAGAAGAGGAAAAAAAAAAAAAACAAAAAAAAAACGCGTATGTTTTATGCAACAACGCTTTGCCAGCAAAGCATTCGTTTTACTCGCACTCAAATCTGTGAAAATGAGAATGACTCTTCCGTTAGAACACGGAAAGATACACAGCCATTTTATTTTATTTTTGCCTTTGTTGCATGTTGGTAAGTACTGGAGCGAGGCCCTTCGTTGTCACCGCACGGCAAAGCAGCGCCACGGGAGGCGAACTTCAAGATGCTAGTATCGCCCTCGCTCCGCTACTGGCCAAATATGCGAAATGAGAATGAATCTTCCACTAGAACATGGGAAGATACACCGCCATATTTTCGGTCTAGTAGTGGACCGAGGCCCTATGTACGGTATCCGCTTCTCCCCATGAAAAGGACAAAACGCTCCGGAAGCGCTGACGTGGCAATGGATTCTTCTGGCTTTGCAGATCGAGGATTGATTTGTGTTTTTTGAACTTTTTCATTGCTGAGCTACACAGAATTTCAGGCTGTCGAAAAAAAAAAAAAAAAAAAAAAAAAGGAGGGCATTGGGGGGGCAAAACAGGACGGTAGTCTTCACCTTTAACCGGCGGCTCCTTGGGAATTCATATCAGAATGGGGGGGCGAAACAGGACGGTAGTCTTCACCTTTAACAGGCGGCTCCTTGGGAATACAATGGCACCAACGATGGCCAAATTGCCTCCAAACACGCTGCCATGGACTACAAAAAAAATCACATGCAATGCATGGCCCCATGAATATATAGAAAGAAAAAGAAAAAGAAAGGAAGATAGATGTGATGGTGACTCTCATTGATAGTAGACTCGAAAAGAGAATTGTGAGCTGGTTTTGTAACTTTTTTCTTTAAAAGTAGTGGAATACGCAATTGACTCGAGGGCTTGTACGGAGAGTACAACTGTAGGTATGATTTGAGGGATAGATAATGGCGAGTCTCTGTGTTCGCAGCAGAGAAAGGAGCAGGTAATCATGGAGTAATCAATCAATCAATCAATCAATTAACTTCGTCATAATTTCCCTCTTCGTGCTTCAATTATTCAAAATCTCGATAGGAACTATTAGGAAGACAGTTTGGATCTATACTATTATATGCTATGCTATACCTGCTATCAACTGGTGAGTCCTGCTATCTGATACTTTGTCATACTGTGTCGTGCTCTGGGGAGAGAGAGAGAGAGAGATACGCACTTGCAATATTGGACAACACGTGCGAGGCTTTACTTTCACAAAATACACCTCCTGTCCATGGCATGCGACTCGCAGAGTCGCGATTACCCTTCTACCTCTCTGCTCAGGTAATCCTTTCAGCCATTATCCACATTATATGTATCTTCGGTCCGAATACTTCCCTATCTGGCTTCCCCAGTCCCTGCAGTCTCCTCTCATCATCGTATGGTCGTCGCCGCTCCTGCCTTCTGCCATCCCGGATTTCTCCTGGTCGCGGAAACATCCTTGGAAAATTTCTGTGTCATTATATCCGCTGAATAATCCAGGTACTGCTTCCGGTTCCCTCATTCCTTCGCCCCGATGAGTATTTTGAGTATTGGATTTTTTGGCTATTCCGTGCTCCTCCCTTGCTTTGTCGTCCGATTTCCATCTGGTCACCAAATCCTTCGACAATTCATCCTCCAAAAGGTTATGCGTTGATATATCTACTGGAGTATCCAGGTGAGTTGTCCGGTTTCCTCGTTCTGACTTCCATTCTCGTGAAATTCGTCTTTAGGTTTTCCGCTCTTTTTCTTTTGTCGCTGTACAAGTATCCAGCATTCGTGATATGTGTCGTTTTAAATCCTTTGGTGGAAATACTGCGAAGTCAAACGAATTCACTTTTTGCCTTGTTTTTGTTTTTGTTTTTGTTTTTGCATTTATTTATGCAACGAATATGAGTGTGAACGATATACAGAGAACCAAGTTGCGAAATCACACAGATGTCCAGGTAGTCGAGACCAAGCAGAGAGTACAAAATGCACCGAAAAACCATCCATATAAAGCAATACCATGAAGTAATGAGCCAATGTTCAAGCCCTTAGGCCACACCAACACAGTATCCAAAGAAGCTCCTCTTCCGTCTGGCGCCCAGTGCCCAGCCTACTCTACCCGACTATCCTACCTACAGCTCGTTCATGCAACAGGGTCAATTCTCGAAGACCAATGTACATAACTGTCAACAGCATAGCCGACCTCTCTTCATGCACCAGGTACGTATCTCGGCACCCTCAATCAGACCTTCATTACCCACACTCGCCTCCTTCCCTGAAGACCACCTGATCGCCCTCGTTACCCCCTGGCGCCTAGCAGCTTGGCTATGGCTGCTTGCGCCTCGCTGCCCTGCAGCGCCCCACCTCACCACTACGCGCCCCGTCCGCGCCTTTGGCAGCAGTGCAGCATCAAGCGAGAGCGCAGCAGCACTTCCGCATTGCCTGCACTGGCCAGAATGCCTGGCCTGGGCTGCCTCACTTCTTTTATGGAAGTCGCAGCCTCCTGGATGCTGCGTGTGGCCTGGCTGAAGCTTCCAGTAGCTTCCGGTTGGGCCTCAGACCTTGCACCCAGGCCCAAGACTACAGTTGAGGGCCTGGGCCCTTTTCAGTTGGGCGCGGCCTCAGTCTCCAGACTTGGGCTGTTTGCTGCATCTGTGCAGGGCTCCCAGGCAGGTGCGTCGGCAGTACTGCCTTTCCAAAGGCCGATGGCCTGCTTCCCAATGTATCGGCCCTGCTTTGTGTGTATGTGCCCAGGCACAACTGTTAAGGCCTGGGCCAACTGTATGACGCAGCTTAGTGAGGCTCACGCGTCTACCCAACCAACTGTCGTGCTGTGAGAGCCTGAATACCCACATATGGAAATGTCAAATTTTGGCCTCTGACGAATATTCAGGCCCGGCTTCACTTAGGGCGGGCACTCGGCTTGCTGGGGGCCTTAGCCCAAAACAAGTGATGTCTGATAGGGCCCCTTGAGGGCTTGTTCCCTACATTTATTTATTTATTTATTTATTTATTTATTTACTCATTTATTTATTAAATTATTTATTTATTTATTTGAATTCATTCGCAAACATATCGTTTTACTTTCACTGATGAACTATCATGAGGTGCAAAAAACTATTGCACTTACGGTTCTTGGACAAGCATTACCCTTCCGCTCCTTTTGTGACTGCTTGGTGGTTATATCCCTAGGTTTTCTTCCGCATTTTCATTCGTGATTTGAAATTTGTTCGGCATATGGTCGTCTCCTTGTTCTCATCATCAAAGTGGCTTTATATTTCGATTTTGGTTTTTTTGCTCAAGTTCTTCCGATCTTCATTTTCCTTTTGTCGATGGCTTTCGATGATTTTTAAGAGCAAAGTTCCCCAAACGTGTTATCTTTGTACGGGTCCTCAGTTTTTATTAATGACTGCTGTTGAATTGAATACGGTAAAAGGTCGTCTGCTGTTATATCTTAATGGACATTCAATATTCACTTATTTATTTATCTGTGGTAATTACCTTTGATTTTCCAATCTTTTCTGTCTTCCGTTTCCAGAAAACCACGGAAGATTTTGAGCACTGCGTTGTCTTTACAGTTTCTGACAAAGGTCAGGAAAGCCTAACGTTTTATCTTCCAAGGGTATTCTAATAGTCTCAGCTCCATACAATATAGTTCCATTACGGCGGGTAGATCCTTCGCGCCATACGTATTCGCTACCATTCTATGTAGGATGCCGACGATTGTTAGTACTTTGGTGTTCACGGAACCGACACTCCTGACATGACGGATATATATATTTATATATATAAGGTGGATTATCACTTACAGTGTAATCAGTTAGGGGATTCTGCAGACTGTTGAGGGTTCAGTTTCCTGATGAGTCGGTGAAACTCCAACGAAACAGTTTACCACAGCCCCTCGTTTGTTGTCCTCTTCTCCCTCTCTGCCTATGGTTTACCGGGCAGCTCTGTTTGACTATATATACCACGACTTCGCTAGCACCCTGCTACGGTATTCTCCGGTCAGGTCGAGCGGCAGGGGTCAGGGCCGTCACTACGCGGCCATGCTGTGCCTCTAGTGCCAGCGGCATGTCTGGAGTGTATTTTTTGGTCGGGGCCGTCATTACGCAGCCATGCTGTGCCTCTAGTGCCAGAGGGGTGTCTGGAGTGTATTTTTTGGCTGTGACAGACCTTTCTTTGTTTCGTGGGTGTTTTGCTTCCTTGTGTGAACAGTCTGTAGAGTTTTCCACCTGGTGTGGGTGAGTGATAGTCTGCTTTGACTTTTGCCACAGGTACCTTGAGGGCAGTGGTTGGTGCCCACCTCAGGGTATCAGTTGTCGGGCAGTCGTTGATGCTTAACCACAGCCGGGGTTAAGGTGGATTATCACTTGCAGTGTAATCAGTTAGGGGATTCTGCAGACTGTCGAGGATTCAGCCTCCTGATGAGTCGGTGAAACTCCAACGAAACAGTTTGCCACAGCTCCTCGTTTGCTGTCCTCTTCTCCCTCTCTGCCTACGGTTTACCGGGAAGCTCTGTTTGAAGAGAGAGAGAGAGAGAGAGAGAGAGAGAGAGAGAGAGAGAGAGAGAGAGAGAGAGAGAGAGAGAGAGAGAGAGAGAGAGAGGAAGGTCCAAAACGGTATGTCAATAACTAATGGTTGGCTTCTGATGCTGAAGCTGTTCGGATCTGGAGGGTTGGTGGCTGACTTCAAATGCAGAAGAAAAAAATATTCTCTCTCTCTTTGTCGTTACTGACCTGTTTACAAACTTACTCATGTTGTGCCATTGTCAACCTGTTTACAAACTTACTCATGTTGTGCCATTGTCAACCACAAAACCACAGTGAAACCCGCAACCATAGCCACAGTAGGTCCACTTGATTTTTTAAGAAAGAAAAGAAGTCCAATAACCAATACCAGGCTTTCATTTTTCAGCTGGAAAGGGAGGGGGCGGGGAAGAGAGGGGGGCAAGTTTAAGAAACATAGCTAGCAAACCCTGAGGATGCTGCTCACCTATCAGCACCAATTGGTTACGCACTGCATTCCACCTTCGCAACAAGAAGGTAAGCCGTATAAAATGATACGACTATGCTTGATGCTGCAAATCGATTCCATCCACACACACACACACACAC